CCTCACTGGCAGGACTGCTGGCTGCTGAGCCTTAGGACCCCTGGAATGGGAAGAACCCTGCAGCACTTCCTCAGCCCTCCATGGGTGGAGACTCCTGCCCCACCAGCCTCCTCCACCTGGCCCTCTGCTTCCTCTGTCCCTGCCCCTGAGAGGGGCGCTCAGCCCACCCGCTGAAGGCCGTCCTCTCCTCCCCACAGTGTGCACCTGGGTCTGCAGAGCGCTCAGAAAGCTGCCGCGGCTGTGCCCTTGAGAAGCGCTAACCAACAGCCTCGGCCAGAGCGGTGCTATTTCTGTGTGGTTAACAGAACATATTAGCTCTCTTCTCCCTGTCCCGTGGTGCTGAGTCCCTGTGACTACAGCTGGGTGGAAATACACTTGTTGGTCAGATTAAGTGGTGAAAAGCCCTTAGGAAGGTCCCCCGCTGCACACTGAATGCTGCCTCCCAGTTGGTGCCGCCGCACATTTCCGCCTATTGGGACAAAGGGATAGTTTCTGTGAAAGTTACCCGCTAAAGGAACGGGAAAATGTGCACAGCAAGCACAGTCCACAATATAACTTTTTTCCAGCCCAAGCTTGGGACAGCCTGTAGCCTGTCCTTCCCTGCATCCCTTCCACTCTCCCCGGTGGCACAGATGGCCTCAGGGACTTGGTGACAGGAGAGGGGACAGTGGCCGGGGAAGCCTGCAGCTGTGGTCACAGCACTGAGCTTCCTCTCAGTCAGGGCTCTGGGAAACAGGAGGGCACCCGACTCCCTGCACCTCCTGGGGGACGTCCCCTGCGAGGCTGTGACTCCCTGGAGGCATGCTGTGCCCAGGAGGGGACCCTGAGAGGGGCAGCTGGGGGAGAGGAGCAGGCTCCCCCCTGGGAACTGGGGGCGCCTGGGGTGGATCCGGGTTTGCTTGGTTAAGAATAATCATCACCCTAAAGAGAGCAGCTCCCATGTGGGACAGCTACTGATTGCAGTGCTCAGAGCTTTCCTCTTCTTAATCCTAACGGTGATTCTGAGAGGGAAGCACTGTTACTCCTTCCATTTCAGAGATAAGAAAGCTGAGGAGAGAGGTAAACAACCGTCAAGGTCGCACAGGAGCTGCTGGTGGATTGGGATTTAGGTCAAGTCTACCTGACTCTGAAGTCCCAGCTTTTGAGCATCTGCCATGTGAGGTCACCTAGTCTGACACACAAGGATCAAAATCAGAACATCAACACAGAAACGTAGCAGTTTTACAGAAAACAGAAGAGAATTATGAACATGCTCTGAAGTGGGGAGATGTATTTAAAACAAGCTATAACGCCAATAACCCTTGGAAATGATTGATACCTTTAAATAACATTTGGCATGGTAAATAGTCCATAGGCAAAGTTGTAAAACAAACTAGAAAATATTTGTATTATTTGTTACAAACAGACTAATTTTCTTAAAATATGTCGAACACCTACAAAATAACAAGAAAAAACCTTCATGAACATATGTAATTTTTTTTCCAGCCCATGTAATTGATGCAAGCAGATAGTTCACAGTTAACAGAAAAGGGGATTCAAACAATAGTATGCAATGGTGATCAACATCATCTATATGAGAAGTACTCATTAACGTCAGAATGGCAATATAATTTGCCCTTATCAATTTGGCAAACAGCCAAAAGTTTATTATACATCTTCTGTAGGTGGGAAACCAAAATGTTAAAATGTAAATAGGAACACCCTTTGGTGGACAATTTCACAATATCGAACAGAAGTTCAGATGTATGTACCTTCGATGCCATAAATCCGCCTGGTGGTTTGTCCCAATGTGCACACACCCACGTGTGCAAACTCAACACAAGGCTGTTCATAGCTGTGCTGCTTGCAGTGGCAGGAAGCAACCTGACTGCCGGAGAGGCGGGCCAGAACCAGAGCCCCCATGGGACGGCATGCCGTCTTTAAGGGAGACCCTCCGTGTGTGTTGACGCAGAGCGGGCTCTGCCTGTGTGGTCATAAGAAAAGGCAAGAAACAGGCAGTGCGCGCGGGGTGTGTGCCTGTATGTGGAGATACATGCATCCCCTTGTTGCCTAGACTCTCTGGATATATGCAGGAGAGACTGGTAATAATGCTGCCCGTGGGAAAGGTTGCTGGGCAGAGGGAGGCAGTAGGGAGACTGCATGTTCAAATTCTATTTCCCTCCTTTATATTAAACCATATGAATGTATAACTTGTTTACAATTTTAAAAAGTTAAAAGCCACTGAGTGTGGCTGAAATGCAATCTCCTCATCCTCTGAGTAGGATAACACTCTATAAACTGCTGGCTTTGATGGGCTGTCCTGAGGATCATCGGACACTGGGTACCTGCCCGAGCAGCTGAAATGTAGGGACTGGGTGTGTGTTCGTGGGGGGGCTGGGCTGCACCTCTCCCCCTGGCAGTGCAAACACCAGGTGAAAGCTGGAGGACTGGCACTTCCATAGCAGGTGGGCCCTCATATGAGTCCCTATCCCTAATAATAACAGCTAAATACTCAGTGTTAGGGCTTTGTCTATATCATCTCACTTAATCCTTCCAGGAGTCATGAACACGCACAGTGCATGCCAGTGTTCCTATGTGAGAGCTCAGCCAGTAAAGGGGGAACTGGGACCTGAACCCAGTTCTGTTTCACTGCAGAGCTCGTCCCCCAGTGATCTGCCTGCAAGAGCCCAGCCCTGACTCCTCGGAGGCCCTCATGGGGTAAACGTGTAGGTCATGGGGGCCACACTTCCTGGGTCCCCAGAGCTGCCATATCAAAGTTCCAAAAACTGGCAGACTCAAACAACAGGAATTTATTGTAGGAACAGTTTATTGTATCAACAACTTAAAGTTACTGTTTTTGAGTTATGGAGGTTGAGAAATCCTATTTTGATGAGATTTGGCCAGTTCGGATTCTGGTGAGAGAGGGCTAGTCACTGTGTCCTGGGGACCTGCTGGCCATGCCATGTGTCCTGACGTGTTAGAGGGACCTGGTGGCACAGTCTCGTCCTGATCCTCGGTGTCCACCTCCTGTGGGCCAGGTCAGGCTGTCAGTCCTGCACCCCAGCTGTTAGTCTGCAGGACAGAGTGGCGTCTGTAGCACACCTCTTCCTGCCCTGGGGTGTTGGGGTCTGGGGGTGCGGTGTGGAAGGAAGGGGCAGAGCAAGAGCTGTGAGGAGCCGGGCTAGAGCCTGATGAGGGATGCCGCCTATCTCCTGGGTGGCAGGGGAGGTCCATCTGCCCACTGAGGCAGTCCTGAAGGACCATGGCCTCGGGCCTGGGGGCTGCTGAGCCTGGTGAGGGGGCCCTGGTCCCATGAGTGGAGCTGAAGGGACGGGGGTGAAGGCCTGACCCGGAGGAGACGCCCGACTGATGAGTTAGTGATTAAGTGAACACCAAGAGGGACCTGAGACACTTCTGCCCATGCACACTGGGTGGGCGGCTCTGTGTGTCCAGTGGGAGGCAGGACGGGACACGCACAGCAGGAGGGGGGCAGGCTGCCTGGGGAGGACTCCCTGGTGTGGAGAGGGGTCTGGGGCCCTGGCAGCCCAGCTCACCCTGACCTGCTGGAGGGTGGTTGTTCCTCCTTCAGAATAAGGTTGTTCTGGGGCCCTTTCCTGGGTCCTATCCTTTCCTACCCTGGTCCCAAGGTGGGAGAAAAAAGGGTATCGGGTTCTGGAATGTGTCTGAACAGGGAGATGGGCTCTGGAGGGGGGGCCCTGAGGGACTGAGTCCAATGGCCTCAGTTCTGCAGAGTGACCAGGAAGAACACTCCTGGCCTCTCAGGGCCTCGGAGGGGGACAGTGCTGTCTGGGTGGAGGGCCCAGTGGAGCTCACAAAGGGTCGGTTGCTCCCTAGCATTCTCTGTTTTTGGCGTTGAGCTGGGGCCTTGTGACTAGTTCTGGCCATGAGCAGAGATCAGCTACCTCTGGAAGATAAGGTGACGCCCTGTGTGGGATTCCCCTGCCTCCCTCCCTGCTGTGGGCTGAGAGCCTGTGAGGAGGCTGAGGGCCCACGTGGTGCGGCCCCAAGGTGATGGAGCCCCATGGGTGACAGGACCACTCCCACCCTCCGTCATGGGCCATGTGGAGGAAGGTCACCCCCTCGTTCTAAGTTCCTGCAGTATTACGGCCCAGCCTGCAGGCGCTGGGCAAGGAGGGTCCCCTTCACCACTGAGTTAGTTACCTATTGCGGAGGAACCTGCCCGTGCTTAGTTCCTTAGTGCCTTCAAACCACACCAGAGACAGTCTCACGGTCTCTGTGGGTTGGGACCCTGGGGTAGTTTAGCCGGGCCTCAGGCTCAGGGTCTCTCAGCCTGAATCACTGTCCCGTCTGAGGCTGCAGGCAGCTCCCGGGGCAGTGGGAAGGGTCTGCTTCCAAGGCCCTGGTGGGATTGCTGATGGGGCGGAGTGCCTGTGGCTGTCGGGATGAGGGCCCCAGGTCCCGCCTGGCTGTGGGCAGAAGGCCGCCCACAGTGCCTGTCACGTGGGCCCCTCCTTAGGGCAGCGGACACTCGGGCAGCTGGCTTCATCAGGGCGAGCAAGAGAGAAAAGGAGAGGGCCAGGGAACAAGACGGAAGTCCCGGGCCTGTATGACCTGCATGGCTGGGAAGTCCCCTCCCTTTGCTGTGTTCTGCTCCTTGGAGGCAAGTCCCCAGGCGCTGCCCACTCCCCAGGGGAGGGTGTGGCCTGGGGAGGGAGGGGTTCTGCAGCCACATTAGCAACTACCTCCTATAGTTACACAGTTGGTGTGCTGGGTGCCTTTGATCCGTGACCTCATTTAATTCCCACTATGCATACGAGGCAGGAAGGGGCCTGCAGGTCAGCCAGTGTGAGAACCTGGTGAAGGTCACAGTCCAGTGGACCCAGGACTTTACTACAGAATTGCTTCACATTCATTGTACTCTGCTGCCTCCAAGAATTAAGGGCATATATTGCCTTGATTTCATTAAGAAGATGGGTTGTGTGGTTTTCTTTATTATTCTTACTGAGAAAATGCTCCCATTTCCCGTGTTCATGCCCTAGGTGCCTGCAGCACTGTGGCCAACAGCTCCGGAGCCCACGTGTTTCTGAACAGGACCCAGGGAGGCTGTGTGTTGTTTCACGCGGCCAGGGAGGCAGGAGCTGAGGTGAAGGAGGTCTCGTGGGGCTTCGGCCCTGATTCAGCGTACACAGTCATCCTGCGGGTCCATTCTGGCGCGGACTCTCCCACCTGGGTCAGCCTCCGGGACAAGTATGAGCACAGGGTCCACGTGCCCAACATGACGTCCCTGAGGATCGACAACCTTAAGTGCGAGGACAGCGGGCAGTACCGGGCTCGGGGCAGCCTCACTGCAGGAAAAGAATTTAACAGGAATTTCCACCTCACTGTCTATGGTATGTGACAGCCCCTGTCTCCATTCCATGGTAATGCCCTACTTTTGTCCCCAGGAGTGTCACTTAGGCCACATTTTGTGGGATTCCCTCCAGAACAGGCCTTCAGACTCTATCCCTCCCCTGAGGTTAAGGTGAGTGGGGTCACCACAATGGGGAGCAGAGATGAGATTCAACATGGGAGAAAACCACAGTGCTTTGGGAGAGCAGAATGGAAAATGGGGGCAATGGAATTATTGCCATAACATTTAATTTTGTGTACAGGACTAAGTTTACTCAATTTGATTATTAATTTTTTATTTCTTCTATAAAAATTATGTAGACTTAGGGGTTCAAAACAACACTAATTATTATCCTTCCTTCCTGTAGGTCAGAGGTCAGACAGGCCCCCTGGGCTAAGGCTCCAGGGGAGGGAACGGCTTCTGTCTCCTGCCCACCTTCTCGGGGCTGCCTGTGCTCCTTACCTGGGGGCTGCCTCCCTGTCTTCAAGCCGGGGATGGCAGACCAGCCCTCCTCCCCCTGCAGGCCTCCCCCCCTCCCCTCCGTCCCCACTGTTAGGGACCCTTGTGGTTCCCTGGGTGCCAGCCTCATAATCCAGAGAGTCTCTGTTTTAAGGTTGACTGATCAGCAGCCTTAGTGCCACCTGTGCACTCAATTCCCCTTTGCCATGTCACCTAAGATATTGGTTCTGAGGACAAGGATGTGGGTGTCTCTGGGCCACTGTTCACCCACCCCAGCTGGGACCCACGTGCAGCTGGTCCTCCGGTTCCCACCTCTGACTCCGCACCAGCCCGAGGCGGCCTCACTCACGGTGACCCCACCAGCCTAGCTCTGAGCCCCGCATTCACGGGGACCCCACAAGCCCAGCTCTGAGCCCCTCACTCATCGGGACCCCACAAGCCCAGCTCTGAGCCCCTCAGTCTCAGGAAGGGTTACTCTGCAGCCCTGCCCCGGCTCGGAGAGTGACTCCTTGTCCCTCAGGTTCCTCTCTGTGCAGGGCGGCCTCCTGTTTGGAGGAGTGGCAGCTGCAGCTCTAGGTCCCTGAGTGATGTCTAAGAGCGACTTACCAATCTGTCACTTGTGTGTGAGGCTTACCCAGCGGCACGTGCTCATGCACTCGGGGCTGTCCTTCCTGGTTGCTGCCGCCACCACTTTCACAGCTGCTGGGCGCCAGGGACCTTCTGGGCTCCCAAAGCTGCTGATGCCCCCTGCCTGGGGGCTGTGCAGCCATGGGCATCATCCCAGCAGGAGGACAGGCAGGGCCCTGCCCCAGCACAGGGCCTTCAGAGCCAGACGTGTCCCTTGCAGGAAAGACCCACGTTCTTCATAACTATCCGTCCTGGGAGGTGAGTCCCAGCACATATTTTCTTGTGGGAGATTTTTAAAGTCTTGCTCAAACTAGGGAAATCATAGGGCTTAACTCAGTGAATCCCTTCCTTATTGTTACTTTCTACATTTTTCTCTGGCAAATTGTGTTTTATTTATGAAATGCTCACATCTTCCTTACAAGGTGGATGCTAGGTCTTCAATGAGATAATCAGTGGAAAAGTGTGAACTGTCATGTCCGCCACTCACGTGAGCCTCTGTTCCTTTGTCCTTCCCGCCCAGCATCCGTGCCCCTTCCCCAGATCCAGGTCACTTCCTCATCCATCACACCAGGCTGGTGCCACGTTACCCTTGAGTGCAGGGCCCAGGGGACCATGGAGGACCTGAAGGTGACCTGGGAGAGCAAAGGCCTCCCCGAGGAGCTGGAGCAGAGAGGGATCCCGGGACCAGCCCCCAACTCGTGGGCCCTGGATCTGAGCCTGCCCCTGAGCCAGCCCAACCCCAGGCTCACCTGTGTGCTCAGCAACCCGCTTGACCAGAAAACTGCCACCACAGACCTTGGGGCCATCTGTGTCCCTGGTGAGTGCCGCCTGCCAGCAGGGAGGGCACTCTCGGAGCACAGGTAGCCCTGGGGTGAGGCTCTGGGCTCTTCTCCCTGCCATGCGTGATAGCCTCCCCTTCCACCTGGTCACCCCACGCAGGGTCTGGGTGTCGCATCCACATGGCTACTGCTTCTAAATGTCTCTCATGACCATTTCTTCATCCAAGTCTTGACACTTTGGTCCATGCAGCAACCTTCTGTCTTTCTTTGCACCACCTTCCATTATCCATAGTTCATCCCCTGGAGTCTTTTGGAAAATAATTCATTTTATGTTGTTGTCCTGTGCTGTCTGCTAGATTTGGCCTCTAGGGAGTCCCTGGTGCATTCAGGGCTCGGGTGCTCTGCCCGTGTCTCTCGCCTCACCTCTACACTGCACACCGGGCTGCTTGCTTGGAGCTCCTGAGGGCGTCCTGCCCGTGAAAGTGTTGAACCTCAGGACACACTCTTTCCTCTACCTTCCTTCCTCCCATCTTGTTGTCCACGTCCCATCTTATTTGTATTGTAGGGTCCCTATTAGGAAAGCCTGGCTTCCTGGGTGAGTAACCTGGGCTGACACATAGGGCCCTGTGCTGGGAAGGGCTCTACAGTCATATCTTAAAATTTTCAATAATGTTTAACAAGGGGCTTGCTTTGCACAGGGCCCTGCAGGCACTGTAGCTGCCCTGCCGTCAGGTATCAGCTCGTTGGTGGAGCTCGCCATGGCCACTGCGCACTCAGGAGCAATGCTCTGTTCGTGGATTTGCCCCCTCCGTGCCCTGGCACACCAAGCATGTCCTGTTCTCCGTTGAATCCTTGTCCCAAGCACAGCTTCTGGCAAAGTCTGCTCACAGTCGGTGTTCATTGAATGAATGAATTAACTGGTTCCCTGGGTGAAGCCCCAACCCCTCTGAACCACATTCACAAGCTGCTGGGGGATCTGTGTGTAAGTGACACTTAAAACCTCTGTCACCCCTGCAATCCTTGTCCTGTGTGCCAGATAAAGTTTGACACTCAACCTGACTCAGTAGACCTGGAAACAGACTCCTGCCTCCTCTGATCCCCTGGCCTGGCTCCCCCCTGCCCGTCCCTCTCCTGCCTGCCCCAGTGCATGCTGTTGCCCCCAGGGCTGGTGATGTGATCCCGACAGGCGGCTCCTCCTTCCTGGAATGGCCTGACCACCCTGAATATCTGGGGAATTCCTACTCCTCCCTCAACACTTACTTTACCCATCACCTCCTCTGGGACGCCCTCCCTGAAGACCTGTGTACAAGGAGTAAGCCTCTGTTGCACTGGGATCCCCCTGGCTGCAGCCTCCCCCCCAGGAAGGAGCTTCTCAAGGACGTGAATCACGTCTTGCTCATCTCAGCGTCCCTGCACCAAGCAGGAGCTGGGGACCTGGCTGAATGCACGAGCATCCGTGCTCCTCCCCTTCTGCTTCTGATCCAGGACCCCTCAGGCTTCTCTCCTGCTCTCTCTCTGTCTCCTTGGCAGTGGGTACCCGAGCTCTGTCTTTCCTTAATCTTCTTGGTTCTCTGTCTGTGAGGGAAGCAGGTTCACATGCACAGACCAGTGCTCGCACCCTGCCAGGCATCCTGGGGGCCACCGTCACTTTGCTGCTCATCCTTGGAGCTGGACTGTGGCTTTGGAAGATGCGTGGGAAGAAGAAGAAGATGGAGACCGGGAGAGGCAGGTGGCTCTTGTCCTCGCAGCCCAGCCACCTCCCTTCTCCCATTGTACCCTATATGCTCTCTTTCTCCTGCATTTTGCTGCTCAGGGAATGTCCCAGAAGAGGGGAGAGTGGGTGTGACCATGACCTTGGGGTTCATAGCAGTGGGGGAGGGTAGAGGTCTCCATGGCCCAGATTCAAGCTCCGCTCCGTGTGTGACGCAGGTGCAGGACTGCAGGAGGCGCACAGGGACGAGGACGGTGGCGTGCACTACGCAGAGCTGAGCCCGCAGGTGCCTCATGAGGGCAGGGACAAGGTGAGAGCTGGGAGCGCTGCCCCGCCTGGCTCTCCCTGCCCCTCTGGGCCTGGACTGTGCTGGTCACCCCAGTCATCTGCTGTTTCTGACCCCACTGCCTCTTTCTACTTTTTCCTGACAGTCAACAGTGTAACTAAGAAAATTCACATCTGGGGCTGGTGGAGTGCTGGGCGCTCTGGGGGAACGATGTGCAGTGCGCGTCAGCAGCCTAGGCTCCAGGTGGGCCCCTCTATCACGCAGCTGTTCCGGGAACCCTCTGTCACTCTGCTTTTGCAGGAACCGTCTGGGTCTCACCCCCAGGGTATCGGTGAGCAACATCTGCAAGACAAAGAGCCTCTCAAGTCTGTCTACAGTGTGGTCCATAAGCCAGGCCAGGCCATGAAGATGATTTAAGGGGAGGATGCAGGAGAATCCAGTCCTCCCGGGACACCTCCACCCTGAGCTGATCCCTGCAGACGCAGCCTCTCGCAGCTCTGGTCCAGCTCCAGCTGCCCCTGGTCTGTGTGCTGTGACCCTGGAGCCCTCAGATCCCTACGTGCATGTGGCCCGGCCATTTCCTCTGACCCTCCCCAAGCTGCCCTCCCCTCAGCGTCCTCAGCCCTGCAGGATGAGGGCTCTTCCTGTCGTGGACTCGGCTCCTGGCCCCTGTCCTCCTACAGCTCCCCATGCGGACCCTCCTGACTGCACATGGCAGCCCCCACGGCCTCTGCTGCGTGTCTTTCTAAGAACATGAGCCCAGGCACGGGCACTGTAGAGATGTTGACTGTCCACAGAGGAGGGAGGTGGGACCTGGCTTCGGGATGCAGAGTTGGGGGTCTGTGGAGGCAGCATGGGAGGGTGGGGCCCGGAGGGTGGGGCTCCCAGAGGGACTGGCCCGGGGTCACGCTGCCCCTTGTGCACAGCTCCCGGGCAGAGGGGGCAGTGTGTGCATTGGGAGGAGTGTCCAGTGCACACTGTACACAGGCCATGGCCTTCCTTCCAGGCCTCGGCCGCAGCCCGCCTTCCTGCGGAGTGCGGGGGATGCGTCTGCTCTCAGGGTCTGCTGAGCCTTCTCAGAGAATGAGCCCAGGAGCTCAGAGTCCGTAGTAGCTGTAGGAAAAGAGCCTCAGATGTTCCTCTGTTGGGATGGACACTGGTGGTGGGGTGTCGTCCTGCCTCTGCTGTGGGTGTGAGGGTGAGCCTGGGGAGGGGATGAGCCAGCCCTCCCACTTCCCTGGGGCCTCAGCAGATGGAGCCCCAGCACAGAGGCTGCTGAGAGTCTCGTGAGCCCACATGTCGGTGGGGGTGGATGGGATGACCTCCGTGACCCTGCCAGGCCCTGAGGTTCTGGGTGGGCTCTCCCCACCCCTCCTGCAACCTCACGTTGCCTGAGGACCTGAGGCGGCCTGCACTGTGGTGTACGAGAGCGTCTGCCCTCCCCGGGTCCTCCTGCCTCAAAGCCTCTGCCTCCTGCAGCTCTTGGGTCAGAGATGCACTCACTCTGGTCCCGGGCACTTAGTACCTTGTCTGCTGGCCTGGACTCCTGGGCCTCTTGGTTCCCTTCCCAGCTCAGCTCAGCTGCTTCATCTCTGACCTTAGAAAGCAAAGTTCTGAGCTAGAGGCTTGGGCGTTATGAAGCAATGCTCCTGTCCTGCTCGACGGGGCCTGGATAGCGGAGGAGGAGGCGGATCAATAAAGCGGCTCTTTCAGACCTCTCCCGCCTCAGGCTGAGCAGGAAGCTGAAACAAAAAGCTAACATCTCCTTTCTGGAATCCCAGGTGAGTGGTCGTGGCGGAGTATCAATGTCCATCCACTCAGGAGCAGTGAAAGATGTGACCACCCATTGACCCTTCCCACCCAACCTGAAGCAGAGAAGAAAAGGAAGAGAACTGGCCTTTCAAAGCCTATAATGAATGAGGCTTTTTCCTAGGCATTTTACAGAAATTATTCCCTCTGTATCCTCCCAAGAACTCTCTAGGGTAGGTATTATCATCCCCAGTTTGCAGGACAGGTTCCTAGCATCCCAAACTAGCTGGTGACAGAGCAAAGCCTTCAGTCCAGTGCTGGATGATTCTAGTGTCCACATCTTACCCTTTACCACATGGTCAGTGAAGAACTTGGGATCCTGGAATGTTCAGAAAGGAATACCCTCCATTCCTTCCTCTCCCAAGGATCCTGGTCTTCTGACTCAGGTGCTCCAACTTGTTTTGAGCCCATCCTGATGATGGATGGAGCCTGTGGTGGTAGAGAGGGGAATTGCCCCTTATGTGGAGAATGGGGCCTTGGTGGTGGGACACGTGGAATGAGGGACCTCGCCCTCTGGTGCAGATGAGACATTCAGAGATGACGTCCTTTCCCTGGAGTCTTGCAGAAGTTCCTTCTCCTCTGAACAAGGTATGTTCAGCATCCCCATCCTTACCAGCTAGCCTTTGCATTATATTCAAAACTCCACTCAATAGGCTGTACATGATTTTCTCATTTAAAACTTCAACAGTTCGGTGAGGAGGCATCCCCAATGTACAGATGGAAAAATAAAATCCAGAGAGGTTAAGCCCCTCACATGAGTTCTCCTGAGTTAGAGTGATGCAGGCATGATGTGAGGCCACACGGATGGTAATTTTACTCATTTGATCCTTTTTCTCCCTCATCCCAGACACCCAACCTGTCACCATGCTCCACGGGATTATCCTTCCTAATGCTTCTTGGACCCCGTCCTCCTCTCATCCTTCCATTCCCACCTTCCTTCCACCTTTAGCTGCACTGTTTTTACATTTCCGCCAGCAATGGATGGGGATCTCTCCACATCCTCTGCAACTCATTTTTCGATTGTAGTCATCATAGTGGGTGTGAAGTGGTATCTCACTGTGGTTCTGAATTGCATTTCCATGATGACTAGTGATGTTGAGCATGTTTTCATGTGCATATTGACCATTTGTATACCTTATTTGGAGAAATCTCTTCTTCTCTTGAATTGCCCCACCTTTCCATTGAATCTGCAGCAGTCGGGGTCACCGGGGAACTCCAGATTGGTAAATCTGGTGGTCAGCTCTCAGTCCTCATCTCCTGGAACCAGTTTACAAGCAATGGACTTGCCCTTCCTTGAAAAACTGCCTTCACGTTGCATTCACCACTCACTGTTCACTTCTTCCTACTCAGCTGTTGCTCCTTAGTTTCGTTATCCTTTTCCTCCCCAGCTCCCCTGACTTAATTTTGGAATATCCTAGGGTTCGTACCCAAACCACCGAGACCACCTCTCATCATTAGGTATACTCATTTTCTTTCTGATATTATGGACACGCACTAATCCCCAGATTCTGTGACTATGTGACCTCCAATGTCAAAAAGGACTTACAGACGTGACCCCTCTCCTGGACTCCACGTTATGTCCCACTGTTTGGACATACCTGACATCTCCACTTGCATGGAAAACAAGCACCTCCAGCTTGTCATGTTTAAATTTAAACTCACACACGTGCTTCCCACACATTTTCCCACCCCTAAAACTGTCACTTCCATCCTTCCATTTTTCTGGCCACAAAACTTTGGTGTCATGCTTGATGTCTTCCTTTTTCTCACACCCTACTCCCTATCAGTACATACTGATATCTTTCCTCCTGTATATATATATATATATTCAAATATTTATTTTCATAATAAAATACCTCTCACAACCTCCCTGGCCCAGTAAGGTTATCATTCCTCACCCAGATTACTGGAGTAGCTTCATATCTCCCTACTTTGGTTTTTAATCCCTTAGCATCCTGTTTTCAAAATTATTATCCAGAATGATCTTTTTCAAACCTAAGTTGCACCTTAGCTGAGGACTCCCCGATGGGTCCACTTCATCTGCAAGGCCCTGTACCACGTGACCTTATGTCCCATGCTCCCTTTCTCCTTTCATCCACACTGGGCTTTCTGCCTTTCCTTCCATACACATTGCATGCTTCTGCCTCAGGGCCTTTGCTCTGCCAGGAGTCTCTTCCTCCAGGTATCTGCATATCTCTTTCCCTGACCTCCTGCACGTTTTGTGCATATGTTACCTTCTCAGTAAGGTCTAGCTGACTTCCCTATTTAAACCTGCATCCTTCCCCTGGAGCCCTCCCTCCCCCTTCATGCCCTATTTTCTTCACTGCCCTCCACAAGGTTGTGAGTCAGGGTGAATTTAACCTGGGCTGTACTTTAAAGACGAGTGGGTATTGAGGCCTCAAGGTGTCAATTTCAATCTTATTATGCAAATACTATTATTATTTCCAGGAAACTGCAACATTGATAAGTTGCTTGTCCAAGTTCACATACCTAATAAGAGTTGGGACTGAAATCTTGGAGTTGGCATCTAAAGCCCTTGCCTGTGACCACTATATAGTGGGTAAATGAAGTATAGTCTGTCCACATGATGGATTAACATTTATGTAATAGGAACGATAAATAACATTTTTATTTATTTAAATAGAAAGCTGTCCTTGAAATATTAAGTGGATTATGGAACAATGTATGTGGTATTATCTTGTATTACAAATGCATATAAACATATGTTTGTGTAAATAAAAAGGAAGTCTAAAAGCTGATATGTCAAGAAGGTAACTGGTTATCTTCTGAAGTCTGTTTCTTTTTCCAAATCATTAAATTATGACACTAATCAAAAAAGATGATCTTTTACAATGTTTCAGCAGGGCTGTGATAGGCTCAGAGCTGTGCTTCAGACAGATAAGGCCACCTGTGTGCCAACAGGAAGCTTGTCATGGAAACCAGTGAAAGTATTTATGCTCATTTTCACTTTCTGTTGTGTAGAATTGGTGGCTTCAGGATCTTTACTGAAATAACCCCAAGCACATCTGGATTTGTCTAGATAGTAAAGACAGAGTAAAAATTTAGGTCTAATTGATCCAAATGGAAACTCCCCACGGATTGCTCACAACTCTGGCTGTTCCTTAGATGAACTGGGGAGCATTTAAAAACAGATGCTTGGACTCTATCCCCAAACGAAGCATCATCTGTATTTAAAAAACTCAATAGTTGATTCTGATGCATGATCAGGATTGAGAACGGAAGCACTGGGTCTGCACGAAGTTTTCACAAAGTTCAAAAGGGAATGTGCATGGCAAGGACAGGCCGAGGGTTTGTGTTCCAGGATGTTCCTCAGTGTGTGTCAGTCCACAGCCCAGTAATGTGGAGGGAAGGAATGGGTGACTGACAGGGCCGCACAGGTTGGCATTACTTGCTTGTGTTCACCACGGTTCACACTGTGATGCGTAGACTACGAGACAGAGGCCAGAAGCTCCATTACATCCATTGCTGATTTGCCTTGGGGAAGAAAACCTTGCTAACAAATACCAAAAGACACTGATAGACAAAATCGGAATGTTTAGTAATTTACAGTGAGACGTATACTTGCTAACTGGGCTGGATATGCCTGTTAGGCCGACCAGGGCATCCTCCTCCCAAAGACAAGCCAGGCAGGAAGTCAGGGTATCGCCTGGGAAGCCCTGAGTCCGGGCGGGCGGGTGAGCAGCTGCTCCTGGGGTGGATTCCGGAGGCCTCGGGGCTGAGCTCTGCATCTCCACGGTCGCGTTTACCTGCCCGGGCCTGGGACTCTCCTGCCAGGGTGACAGAGCCCCTCATTTGTCTCTGTCGCTCTCCTCTCTTTATGCTCCATTTCTTGCTAACGAACTCCTGACTGACATATTCTTTCTTTGCTCATGTGCATGTGCGAGATTAGTCTTGCTCTGCTCTCTGAGCGGGAATCTCTGTACCTCTCCTGGGATCCAGATAAGTGGTGTTTTATTTAATCCCCAAAAGCAAAAAAAGAAAGAAAAAAAGAAACCCATCGAAAACATCCACTCTTATTTTTCTCATTTCCAAATGTAATAGAAGGTGTGGAAGGAGAGGACATGTCCTCAGTGTGCCATGATCTGCCAATTGAATGAGCAAATTGCTTTTGTAAACCAAAACAGACCCAAAGAGAAGAGCTGTGAACTGGTTAATGGATCCTGTAGCTCTCAGGGCTGGAGTCTTCACCCAATTTATCACTTAGCCTTCCTGCAAGATTCTCTCATTGTAAAACAGCAATGAAAGGAAGAAAACTCTAAGAAAATGTGTATGTGATTAATGTCCATTCATTTAAAAAAATCTTTATTAAATGGACAATTCTAGAAAAATATGCATTGCTAAAACTGATTTATATGTGGATGTAAACCTCAAAAAACGACCAAAGAACATATTGAAAACTTAGAGAAGTGTTTTCTCCTTTGATGTCATAAGGGCCAAATTCTACTACTGGTGAACTCCTCAAATCTTAAGAGAATAAATAATTTTTGAGCTAGAAATGTATTTTAAAATTTGGCAGACAATAGAAAGCTTTCATGTATGATTCTGAAAATTTGAGAAGCATAAAAAATAATATAGAGTTCAGTCCGGCCATCCAGGCTGCCTGAGCGCCTCCCGTGTCCCTGCCTCCGCTGGGGCCTCTCGTGACGGAGCTCCCAGCTTCCCCAGGAGCCCGAGGAGCAGAGGCCTTGGGCCAGCACTGCCCACAGTGATGGAGGAAGAATAGGCGCCTCGTCCCTGTTGGTCAGAACGGAGATGGCATAGAGCTTGTGGGGACAAATCCAGGCTGGCCGAGATCCCTGCGGCCACTGGCCCAGTGCTGGGTCCTGCCCCTCCTGGGTCTGGGGACACTGGGGCTTCAGGGATCGGAGATATCCTATGGGATTTGGTAAAGAAACTTTCCTGGATTAAGGCTGTCACACTGGAAGGACACTCCACACGGAGTCCTACCCGGTCCCGAGCCTCTGACAACCCACGGAGTGCCTGTGCCTGTGGTTACCCTCCACCGGTGGCAGGGACCTCACCGCGTCCCGCAGCACCTCTTCCGGCTTGGGTGGCCCTGGCTACAGGAAGCCCTCCCCTACTGTCATCCGCGGCTGCCCCCCTCCTCTGAGACTGGTTTCCTTCTCCAGGTCACTCATGACAAATCTGACTCCGTGTCCAGCCAGGGGCCCTTCAGGTGGGATTCGGAGCAGAGCAGGGATAGTATCAGGGCCCCACACAGCTGTGTTCTCTGCGTAAAGCTCCTAGCTCACCCTCCCTTCCCACACAAAGCTTCCTGGGAGACACACCACGCTTGTCTGTCTGGTATCCCACCTGTGTCATCCCAAGGCCTGGGGGACTGGATGTCACATTTCTTGGGAATTGAGAGTGCCCCCCTTCCCCCAGTCGCCTGGGAAAGGAGTGTCCATGGGGGTGGGCTCACTGGCCCTGCTGGGCACGTTCTTGACCCCAGCAGAGTCCCCAGCATCCAGGAGGGCCGTTTTCTTGTCCCTGGAATTCTAACCACACAGACTGGGGAGGCGTTGGGCTGGCTGTGAGCCAGCTTCAGGGTCCTGGAGTTGGGGGCTGGCCCCAGGCCCCTCCCTGCTCCAGCTCCCTGGGGAGCCCTTGGTTTCCCAGGTCAAGCTGAGGTTCTGTGTGGTCCCAGTGTCTCTACACTGCAGGGTGAGCCTTCCCCAGCCTGGTGTGATGGTCAGTGACCAGGATCTGTGGGTGGGTTTAGGGATCTTGGTTTGCTCTGGGGCAGGAGGTGACGAAAGAATATTATTGGATGAACAGGCAGAGCACAGGGAATATGGTGTAGTGAAAATACTGTGTATGAGACCGTGACGGTCGGTACATGTCAGTGTACGTTTGTGCAGACGCATACCCTGCTGAGCACCCAGAGGGAACTCCCGTGTGAAGTATGGACCGCAGGTGATGGTGATGCGTCAGTGCAGGTTCACTGACTGTCAGAAACATACCCTCTGACTAGGATTTCCATCCTGGGGGAGGCTGAGCGTGGGCGGGGGCAGAAGTTAATGGGAACTCTGGGCACTTTCTGTCTGGTTTTGGTATGAACCTAAAAGCCTGAAACTGCTTAAAAATAAAGTCTATATTGGTGAAGGGGGGAGCCTAGTAAACATAATGGTCTTCATGTAATTGTAGATTAATGATACCAAAAAAAAAAAGTCTATTAAGTATATATACAAAAATCTATACAAATCTATCTATCTTTCTAGATACATGTACATGAGAACTAATTAAAAGGGGGTATAACAAGTATTTCACAGGATAATTTTGAAGGCTCATTAGGGAATTAAAAGTGCATCATATCGTAACAAAGCAGAGTAGGCACTCTGAAAGTGTTAGTTGAATGAAAAGTGAAAGATATTAATAACAATAGTAACAATAATAAAACAAATTTAGAGTAACATACATTTTGTGCTGAGTTTTAAAAATATTTTAATTTTGTTATTGTGTCTAAGCCTTTAGTCTGTTGGTAACAGAGTATAAAATCATCTCTCTTCTCAGCTGACTCAGTAGGAATTGGCATGGGTACCACTATTGTTGTCTATGACATTTTTCAGAATTTCCTGGTTTTACTGCTTAGCACTTCTACAAATGTTTTCAGCAACTGAAGTTCCTCTTGGACCAGCCAAAACTCACCTTAAAATGAAAAAAAATGAAGAATTTTATTGCGCTTGTAGAGCCACATTACTCATTCACTGTCTTATTGGGTTTCAGAGCCCTTTGCTAGGAAGGCAGGACATTTAGCAAAGAAACTGAGGCTTGGGAGGTAAGACAGTTTACCCAAAGTCACGCCGTGGGAAAGGGATGGAGAATCCCACTTTCAGAGAAGGGAGGACAGCCACACTCTCTCGGCTCCTCCACCCCCACGGCCCTGACCGCACCAGAGCCAAGTTCACCTCCACTTCCCCCCAGACCCCTTCACCAGATCCTCCCCAGGACCCACAGCAGCAGAGGGCAGGTGTGATCAAAACCCTTGGGGAGAATCCTCCACAGGCAGAATTTGCAAAGGAAGGTATGAAAACTGGTTTTGAGGCTGCTAAGCTCTCACCTAAACCGAAGGCATCACAGAGCAGGATTTGGAGATAAGGGGGTGGAGACTCTGTGTGGCGAGAGCTATGGTTTGATCCCCACCCTGACTCTATGGGGGAAAGTCACACCTGAGAATGCCAAAGGGAGAGATGCGCTGGCAGAGCCGGTGACACCTGCCGCAGTGAGGCCTGGGCCCTCTGACCTGGCCCCTTCTCAGCCAGGCACCCTCTGGCCTAAGGCACCCCCTCGCCCACACATCTTTTCTCCTACAGGGACCCCTGGGAATGTCTGAATCCTCCGCCATCATAGCGGGCAGGCTGATGGGACCTGTAGCACTTCTAGAGGTTCTTTTCCTGCAGACCCACCATGTCGCGATTTCTACCCCAGAGGACACCCTGGGAGCGGCACGGCCATTCCAGATAAATTGAAAGAGGAGCCTTCGCCCCCTTTGCTGTTATGTTCCCCCCACACATCTGGAGTTTCTATCACCTGGGCTGCTCCACACGCCTGTCCCATAGTTTGCTGTTTGTTGATAGGGCTTAATTCTCTTAATCTGCATCCTTGGTTTTGGAAAGCTCAGATTTCTTCTTTCTGTCTATAATATATGGTTTGCCTATTTTGGAGCTCTACTGATGAATATGGGGTTGTGCATTCGGTGGGGTTCTAGATGCTGCTGAAGCAATGGCTCCTTCAGCCCCAAGTATTGGAGGTTTGTGGGGAGAAGGGGTTAAACAACAGAAAAATGCCTGGAAATCTCTAGACAGAGGGCCCTTGAATTGACTCAGGGCACCTCCTCATACTCTGACTACCCAGTAATGCTTGATGAAAGTGTAATAAAAATGTTACATGTTATGTAGTTTAGTTTTAGGGAACTCTACTTACAGAAACAAGAGGGAACCTAGTGCTAAAAGTGTGAGGGGATTTGAAGTTTCTGGTGACTCAAGGTGTTTTCAGAACCAGATATAAAACCTAGAGGACAGTGTTATAAATCCCTAAATAAGGATAAAGTCCAAGTGCGGCCTTGAGCTTCTAGGGAAGCAGATGAAACCTGGAGAGAATCGGAGTGAGAAAATGCCTGTCTTCTATTCTGGGAAACTAGCTTTGGGGCTGCTACCTGCCCTGTCTATGGGAGAAATTTGAGAATTTGGAATCCAAGCCTATACTGTGCCTGGTGTGGGTGGGAATTCTCACCATGTGCTGGAACTCTGAGCCCAGAAACTATCTTAAAAAGAGCTGAAGCCTATAAATTATAGGAGTAGTAAACACTGACAGACCTTGGAGAGACTTCCACTTCAGGGCACATGTGTGGACTCCTCTAGAAAACAATTACTGCAGAAGGTCCAATAACAGAAAACAATTGCTGACATGTTAGGAAATGCACTTCCCTCTGAGAGGGTCAGAAGCCACAAAAAGGAAGTCCCAGCCTGGGAACCACAATTAACCAAGAAATCTGCTAGGAAACTTTAGAGAACTATGGGAAGAGATTAAGAGAGGACTCAGGGCTACAGTGCAAAACCAAAACATTTCTGAAGAAGGAGCAAGGAGGAAAGGAGTGGGAAGCAGAAATTTAGAGCAAAGTGACAGTAAAAGACATGGGCCTCCTGGCCATAGTCCATGAGTGGCACTGCTGGCCCAGGATCTAGGGGACACCCTCAAGTCTGTGCCTCAGGAAATCCTGAGAGGGCCCTGTCTGTACTCAGCTGCAACTTGTGCGATCAAGGTCTGGGACAATCTGCCTCCCCTGTCCCAGGGACCTGGCAGGGCCGTGTCCATCTGTGTCTTCAGAGCCAGATGTGCAGACCTTAAACTTGATTGTGGGACCTGAGACAGCCCTGGGCTTATGCCACCCCCCACAGCCATGGTTGAGGGCCAGTCCCACCCTCCCAGGGGCCCTTCCAGTGACAGGCAGCAGCCCTTCTAAGGACCTGGTGGGATCCATACCTGCGTGCACCTGGTAATAACCTTGCTGTCTGACAACCCAGCTCTAGACCCTGCAAGTGGACACTTGTGCAGCAGCACCCTACAAGCGGGGTTCTGGAGGCCACCCATCCACCCAGGGACTAGACTGGACCCACTTTCCCTGGAGCCCCTGGTAAAAGCCTGCCCAGCATGGACCCCACCCACTACGGGCCCAGCAAAGCCTCCTAACTGGCTCCACCCAGCACAGCGGTGGTTCTGGGGCCAATCCCATCAGCCAGGAAACAGCCCTGGGAAGGTCTTCACCTGCTGAGACCTGAAGACATGCTTGTCCTTCAAATGCACAGACACCAACCAACACAAGGCCACAGGGATCATGAAAATTCAGGCAAATAAGACATGAACAGAGGAAACTAATACGCCCAGTAACATTTAAATGCTGCTTGACTCTGAGCATATCCTTTGCTACGAAAACTACTTGAATTGTGGTGTCATTTTTTGTTGAAAATTATGAAAATAAATATAACATACCTATACTTGGTATGTTCACATGGACACTTTACAAATGGCCATTATATTATTTCTTCACTGAGCAAATGTCTCTTCGGTAATTGTGTTCTTAGAGACCGGTCCACATATAATTGTTAAAGGTTGATGGAATTTTAAGTTTTTTGAAACATTAATGAAGGAATGATATTATTGTTAACCCTTTTTCTTTTTGGGTTTTCTAACTACCTTGTATTTACCTAGTAGACTGGAGCCAAACATGTGCCTGAGACATTTGAATTTAATGTGGAAGAAATGCAAAGAGGAAAGGAAGGGAATCAGCAGCTGCTGGGAAGCAAAATTAGATATTGCAGTAAGGCACAATGTGGGGGGTACATGTGTGTGAGACAGAGACAGGGATGGGGACAGGGACAGAGAGAGAGGAACTGTGGCCCAGCCTGAGCTCATCATGATGTGGGGAGGAAGGAGAGGAAGGAGCGAAGCAGGCCAGTGGAGGTGCCCTCCCCCTGGAAGGCCCAGTCCCCCCAGAGCTGGGGACCGCTGGGTGGGAATCCCAGTTCCCTTGCTCAGTCCTGTTTGCTTCAGTCCCCTGTGCTGAGACCCCCAACCTTACCTGAGTCCCGGGAGACCTGTGAGAGGATGTGGGGACAACCTAGGCAGGCGACGGGCCCCTCCCGCCCCTTGGTCCTTCCCTGCAGACTGGCAGGTACTGGTAAGTTCTCATGCACGAGGAGCTCACGTGTCCTTGTTAACCTCACTGTAAGGCCATGGCCGTGGACAGCTCCTAGCACCCCTTAGTGCACTCTCAGGTGGACTGGGGGGCATGCACCCCCTGCACCCAATTCACAACTGCCCCGGCCTCCATCAGGAACAGAGCCCCGGGCCCCAGGGCCCTGAGCTACATGTCTTCCCACCCTGCAGCCCCTTCCCCTCCTGGTGGCTGTGTGTGCTCTGCCTGCCCTCTGCAGGTCATCCTGCTCACCTCCCCCAGGAAGCCTTCCTGCTTCATTTCAGTTTCCACAGGTGCTGCTCTTGTCTCCCTGATGAAAGAAGATGCTGCTTAAGAGCCTCTGTACCGGGGCACTTACAAACGGCACTGAAATGATTTCTGCTTCTGCCTCCCGCTGGACTGTGGGCTCCTCTCAGACAGTGACTTGGTCCCTGTCTTTGCTCCCGTTGTGCTGCACATAGTAGGTGCTCCTTACATGCCTGATGTTGGAAGGCCTCTTTTCAGGAATCACTAGCGGCAGGTCGGTCTTCAGCCGCCAGGTGGCACTAGTGCCCAGGCCCTGCCAGCGCGGGGTGGGCGGTGCCTCTGAGGATGTGCATGGGCGGAGGGTGGTGCCGCTGGGTATTGGACTCCCTTCCTCTTCCAGGCCAAAGGTCTTGTTTTTCTCTGGCTGCTGTTGCCAAGCGCCCTAGACTGGTGGCTCAAACAAAAGAGGTTTATTTTCCCATAGTTCCGACGGCTATGAGGTGTAAGATCAAGATTCCCTCCTGGTGAGGGTGCTCTTCCTGGCTTCCCTCCTTACAGGGGCACTAATCCCCTCATGGGGCTCCGTTTTCATGTCCTCCCAAAGCCCCAGCTCCTAATACTGCTACAAAAGGGGTTACACTTCAACATGAATTTTGTGGGGACACCAATATTCATCTCTCAACACTGGCCACGGGGGTATGTAGGTGAGGTTAGAACAAGAGACACTGGGAGGGGTTTGCAGACTGGTGGAGTGTCAGATGTAAACACCTGACCTGCGATTCAGTGATTAGGGGCCAAGTCCCTGGGCAACGTGATCCTGGGTGAGAATCCAGGGTGGGGCTCCATGTTGGGGGAGGGCATAGTGGTGAGAATTCCTTCGGGCTGGATTTGGACCCAGGTGAGAGGAAACTGTTTTAAAAGGACAGGTGGGGTGGGGTGGGGGGTGAAACATACCTTTATAGACTTCTTTAACATGTCCAGCATTTGAAGGAATGACCACTGAGCCGAAGTTGTAGAACGTGAGCAGAGCATCTCGTTTGCACTCAGGTAAGGGCGCGTGTGTGCAGGTAAGGGGGTGCATTTTACACCGTAGGTCACCCCTGAGCACCCGACAACCCCGGCACTGAAAGAAGGCATTGAAAAAGTTGGGGAGGGTTATATCCTGGGACCCTAATTACCCTATTAGGACTGAGAGACTTAACTGGGTTGGCAATCCTTGCCCGAAGTTTTAGCATAGAATTTTCCCCCCGTTCTTTGGGCATTTAAAAATATAACATGCTCTTATCAGATTATTTGTATGCTAACCTGAAACCATTCCTAAACTTCAGTCTTGAGCTGTGAACACAGAAATCAGTACATGCAAAAATTGCTTTCACTGTTTTACCTTTCACTATTCAAGTTGCATAAGGCCTCCAAGGGAAGACCCCTGTTTTGGGTCTCACAGCTTCTACCTGCCTATTTGACTGTTTCTGGCACCATACACACATCCACTAAGAGGGCACCAACTCATTGGCGCATCTGCCCCTGGGTGAGTCTGATGCTGACCCTTGATACATATTTCAAACCATCACATATAGAGGTGTGGGGGCATGGGTGACATAAGTGAATGGGATAAAGAGGAATAAACTTCAAATTACAAAATAAATGATAATTTACAGGAGTGGAAGTACAGCAGACAGGATACGGCCAATAATATTTTAACATCTTGATAGTGACAGGAGCTAAGTATTTGCATGGAGACCATTTGGCTATGTGTGTAATTGTCAAATCGCAATGTTGTATGTTTGAAACCAGTATAATACGGTATATCAACCATATTATGATAACAAAAATAAATGAAATAAAAAAATTAAGAAAACCCCATCACATAGAGAGCCAGGATGTCTCCACAGAAGGTGCCAGCTTCCGATCCATATCCACAAAGTGTTTTCTTCCTTAGAACCTCAATTACTTGTTTCAGATTCTAGGAAAAGAATGGCTTAGTGCTAACATAGAGAAACAATGAACGCAACGGCTCCAAGGGAGAGACCAGCACGTGGTTAAAGCCAAATTGTTCTTGAACAGATGATACTTCAGGTGGCCACACTCTTCCAGTACCTCAATCTCCTTGGAAATGCAAACCACATACATGCATTTGCTGTGCTGGTAGGAGGACTGACTGCAATGGTCTGAACCCAAGGGCTGGCATTCTTTTGACCAGAATAATGCAATAATTATGTTCCTAGCTACCAGTCTAAGCATACAGAGTCATCTGTCATGCAAAGCAGACATACACATTACAGGAAGTACAGTTGCCTTGACAGAATTTGAAATACACTGCAAACCAGGGCTGAAAGTATGTTTTGAGCTAGTACATAGTGGGTGCTGCTCCAGGGCTCCCTAAAAATGTGCACATGGGCATTCAGAACAGCACCCATGGTGTTTCCACTATACAGTTCTGTACAGTATGAGCACGGTGGCACCTGACTTTCAGCACTGGAGATTCTCGATGTACTGGGTCCCAGACAGACCAAGGTAAGGCTTAAAGAGTATTAGCAGCTATTACCAACCCAGAGATTTCAACGAGACACAAGAATGCTAACACTGAGCCCACAGCAGTCTGCTTTCTATCACTTGGGTTTCTGAAGTTCCCATTAGACAGAGTCATTCTGCACGAGGCCAGTGATGTGCACGGCCTTTGGAGAGGAGTTCGCAGATGCCTGTTTGCTGCCTGACAGTAAATAATCAAATCTGGCAGTGTTTCTTATCCACCCAGCCCTCCTCAAATGCCAAATCTCTCTCTTTTTTATGTCCCAGTGTCTTTATTGATGTAGCTGCGGCCCAGCACACTCACTGACAGCCCAAGATCAGAGCGGAAGCAGGGCCTGGGGACGGTTCTGTGGGAGAGGAGACAGACAAACTTACCTCTGTCTTCAGCTTCAGGGGCAACTGAGAGGGAGGGAGATTATCAAGGAGGCAGATCGCCACCCACATCCCAAATCCCTCCCCCTGAGGCTGTGTTTCCCTCGTCCAAGCCACCAGAGGACAAGGGTCAAACTTCGCTCAGCACTGTGAGTGGCTGAGAGAGGTGGATGCTGTTTCAGAACGGCACAGACCCTTCCCTTCTTGATTTAGAGCAAATACAACGCCATCCACGACTGCAGAATGTGACCTCCCACATATGCTTCAAACCCACAACGGTCAGACACTGGGCTTCTCCTTCTCTGTGGGCCTGGATTGTTTACTGATGCGTTAGGTGCAGGACCTTCCATTGGCAACTTCCACAGAGGGACCCTGGCTTGCCATGCCCAAGCGTTAAGGTCGCTACCTGTGCGCTGAGTGACAGACGCCTTCTCAAGCTTGCGGGAAGCATGCTGTGTTCTGGTGTGCTTTGTTTTTACCTAGTGGCCTTTTCTTTTCCAGGATCTCGGACAGGACACCACCTTATCTTAGCCATCATGTCTCCTTTGGCTCCTCTGGGTGGTGACAGTCCCTCCGACCCTCCTTTCTTCACCACGGTTTTGAGGAGTACCAGTCTGGTGTTTTGTAACACGCCCCTAATTTGGATTTGACTGCCGTTCCTCTCCTGATAAATGGGGTTGTGGGTTTGGGGAAGAAAGAGCCCTTTGGCACTGCAGTACATGAAAAGTTCACGCCATCAGCAGGGCATCCCTATGACACTGACGTCGATGATCGGCTGAAGGGACCTTGTCGGCTCTTCCTATGGGAGGTCACTCTTTTCCCGATGATAAAATGTTGGACACAGAGATTCTTCCTCTGCGGGGTGAAGGGCCCTGGAGCAAGTCATCAATGTGCCTGGGGACAGTAAGGGACAAAGGGTTGTGGAGGAGCTCGCATCCTACACCTACAGAACCCTGTGGCATGGGCCCCCGGGGGCTAAGGATCTCTCAGAAGAGGAGGCGCTGGTGAGGGCTTGCTGTCTGTGCAGCCACCTGGGGGCCCAGTGACCACAGCAGATGGTGCCCAGGCCAGGAAGGAAAGCCCTGGTGGCGCCAGGGCACAGATGTGTTCTGTAAATCTCTGCTGAATGGATACCCATGGTGGCAGCCGTGTGCAGCGCAGCCTACAGCTGCTGTCTTGCTCTGGAGCACATGATACACCCCAATGTCCTCACAGGCTTGGTGGGGACAGGCTGAGACAATAGGAGGCCCCCACTCAGGTGCCCGCCCTGCACTGGCACCAGCCTGCCAGGGGGCTCCTCCTTCACATGCTCCCAGGGCCTGGGCCCCACCAGAAGGGGCAGAACAAGAGCAGTGACCCTGGGGACATCCCCAGTGACCCCCAGCTTGCTGAGGGGCTGTAGAGCCCAGCACAGAGAGCACCTCATTCATGTGGGGTAGGACAGGGAGGTTCCTGAGGCCACTGGGGCTGTGTGTGGGGTGTCAGCAGACATGGGACAGGGGCTGGGAGGGCGGGTCTCACTCCGGGGCTGAGAGCAGGTGTGCAAGCTGGGGGCCGGGGGCCCTTGGGTGCGTAAGGGGAGGGGACTGACACTGTAAGTGGGGAGTTATTTCCAGGTACCTGCTCCTGCCGGAGCCCACCCTGCCCTCGGTGCCCCCCTGGGGAGGGTCCCAAAGGCCTATGGCCGTTCTCAGGGGCTGCAGGGGAAGCTGCAGAGCCCACCGTCCCCACTGTGGGGTGCAGTGTGTGTCCTGAGGCCCAGGGGTGGGCAGATGGTCGTGCTGTGTGTTGTGGTCTGTCCCCACCGTAGGGCGGAAGGGAGAGGTTGAGCACCTGTCCAGTCAGCAGCCACTAGGACGCTGGTGCTGACAGAAGCCCAGGGAAAGGGCCGTGCGGTGGGAGGTGAGCATCACCCCGAGCTGAGGGGGCAGGAGCCCTGCCGGGAGCTGGGTACAGGCGTGGGGGAGCCCTCTCCCCACCAGCAGGGCTGCTCAGGTTAGAGGGAGTGTGGCTGGAATGAGTGACAGATGGTGGGTGACTAGGATGAAGCGGCCCTGGGACAGCTGGACCAGGACACACTGCCTGGGG